AACATTATTATAAACCCTAAAAACTTTAAAGAAACTAGGATTGAGGCTTTCCACCGGTTAAAACCGATAGAATCTCCTTTAAAATTCAACAATAGAGGCTAGGGTTTTGGAGAGAGGAAGGAAGAGAGAGGAGAGGTTTTTTTGAGCTCCAATTTGAAAACTTTTCGCCTAAATGGCACAGGGAAGCATAATTTACAATTCATTGGAACGTATTTTTGGATTTTTTTATTTTTCAATTTTTTTGTATTTTCATAAATAAGAAAGCAATAAAACTAACCTAGAAAGCAAGAAATATAACCTAAGAAAGCACACCAAAAATAAAAGAAAAGAGGAAAAGAAATATACCAAATCCAAAATCTCCCCCAAGCCAGAATCAGACAATGTCCTCATTGGCTTGGGAACTAGCCCAGCATAGCTAGTCCTGATCATCCTCATCCATCGAGCCGAAGCCCGCACCTCCACTTCCACCTGCACCAGAAGAGCTACCACCAAAATAATCAGCATGAAAATTCCCCCCCACCCCCCGCCGGTCCCCCAAAAGGAATGTCCTGGCCGTACCCATGGAAGGAAGAATAGTCAGTGTAAATACCATGGGCAGTGGGATCCCTATCGTATCCCTGGGGTGGAGGCTGAAACCAGTCAGGGTGAATAGCGTCGTCGGAAATGTTGCCCCGACGAGCATAACCATCGTATATAGGGTAGAGAGCTCTACCCTGGTTCCTCTCTAGGTACCCTAACCTCTGGTCTATGGAGCCTACCATCCTCCTAAGGTTAGTGTGGGAATGCTCGATACGTCCTAAGGCCTGACCTATACTCTGAAGGTCCCAAATTGGGTCAGAGTCAACATGAGGGATGAAGTAAGACATGCGAGGTGGAGAGAATGCCACCTCGGGCTGAGGCTGAGGTGGTGAAACTGGTGGTGGTGGTGCTTCCCCCCTAGCGTTGGCAACTAAAGTACCATATGTGTAAGATGGTTGCCCTGGGGGAAAGGCGGTCAAGTCAGGACTGGGTAGGGGAAAGATGAGCAAAGGGTGCTCGCTCCTAGTCCTAATACACCAAAAGGGTGTCCGCTCGCTATCCGGTCAAACCCACCCCAACTCCTCAAAATACATATCAGTCATATAGGTATCTAGTCCACAGTTGGTCAGTTGGTGGGGTCCATCCACTACAAAACCGACCTTTTTTACTGTTATCCGAGTGATAAGGCCTCCTAAACAGATGAGGGTTTTTGATGTAGTGCTAGCCGTGGCATGCCTACTCAAATGGTGAACAATAAACCTAACTATGTTCAATTTCCCGAACCCATACACATAGTGTCCTATGACAGCTAGTTCGTTAGATTGGGCATTGTAGGGCTCGTTCCTACCTAAAAAACACAAACCCTCAAATCTTTGCCAGATTTTTGGGACAGGGTGGTGAATAGGTTTGGTACTAGCATGTTGGGGGTCGGGGGTAGGCAAACCAATCAAAGCATGATATATGTCACCCATTTTATAGTCCGAATGCCATTGGTGAGATAGCTCAGAATTTAATTCAAATAATTTACAAAATTCTATAAAAGTTAAACTAATATTTCTATTGTTCAACCTAAAAAATAAATTTGACTCATTTCTACTACTAACAACATGTAAAGAAGACAAGAATTCACAAGTAAGTTCTCGGAATGTAGGATAGTGCATATCAACAAATTTTCTCATGCCAATGTCATTTAAAAATCGTTTTACAAAATCATACAAACCAAATGATTCTAGAGTAGGGCGGTGTAACCACCGAAAAGGAATTACCTCACGACCGATCAAATGTTCTAACCGCTCCTTTTGCTCTCGGCTAGCAATACGGATCGTCGGCCAGTACGGAAGCTGCAAATCTGGGTTGTATTCCTCCCTCGAACTGGAGCTCCTACCGAAAATGGACCTAGCCCTCTTTGAAGCCATGATAGAAAATGGGTTTGAAAATTTACTTGAATAAAATCTGAAAATTTTTATATGGAAATGTAGAGGATGAAGAGAGGATCTCAAATATGTAAAAAGTTTTGAATTTGGGTGAGAAATGGAGGAGAAATCTTAGAGAGAAGGTAGAGAGAATTTGAGTTTTAGAGAGAGAAAGAAATGGAGGAAAGAAGAAATGAAGAAAGAAAGAAGAAAAGAAGAAAAGAAAGAAGAAGAAGACGCGGACGCCACTCGCGCCCGGTCGGGCGGTGGGTCACCCGGTCGGGCGATCTAAGTTGGAAATTACGTTGTGTTCTCGCGCCCGGTCAGGCGGCATTCGCCCGGTCGGGCGATCTGATAGCCCAATTTTCTTCAACTCTCGCGCCCGGTCGGGCGCCCTTCGCCCGATCGGGCGATCTAACGTCTAATTTTTCGCCCCTTCTCGCGCCCGGTTGGGCGAGGCTTGCCCGATCGAGCGGACAATTTTGTTCGTATATGACGCTTCTCGCGCCCGGTCAGGCGCCCATCACCCGGTCGGGCGAAAATACTTAATTTTGAATACTAGTTCTCGCGCCCGATCAGGCGAGCTTCGCCCGGTCGGGCCTGAGGCTAAATTGTCGAATTTTTATTTTCTTCTTTTCTCTAAAATTTGGCTAACTCTTTTCCTTCAAACCTGTACGAACACTCATAAAACTCGTTAAATTCCCTCATCTCTCCTCTCATAAGAAAAAAGGAAAGAAAAACTAGTCTAAAAAGCATTAAAAATACGGGTTGCCTCCCGCAAAGCACTGGTTTATCTAGGTCCCGCACAACCTTCTTACCAAGTACAATAACTAGGACCTTTGGCCTAATGCTTGATCGGGAGGTTTCTCACCCGGTCTAGCGGTGTTTAGGCTGCGATGTGGCTTCCTGACATACCCTGTGGGACGCTAAATCGCCTTATCTGGTGGATCATCCTTGACTTGGGTAAGGGGTTCTTCGATGCTACGCACCAAAGATCCTTCTTTGATCGAGGATTACCTCAAATTGTCATTGCATTTACACTTGCAACTCAATCTGGCGGAACACTTACCGTAGGCTCAAAACGCACAACTTGCTTGATCGGTTCCACCTTTTCATCCTCGAAACCAAGACCAACACTGTAAAGTGCTCTTTCTATTGCATCAACTTCCTTCTGCCATTTATCTATCTCACCTGAAAGGGATGCAACACAAGATACCGCCTCCAAGGGATCTTTTTCAAGAGCTTGGGGCTTGTTAGAATAGTTCTCAACCACATTAACACTGAAACATTTCTCCTCAATCATGGAGCTTTTAGGGGCATTATTCAGATTAAAAACAATTTTATCATCCCCTACTGATAGTGTTAACTTGCCACTTCTCACATCTATGATTGCTCATGCAGTGTTAAGGAATGGTCTACCCAAAATAATTGGGGTTTGCATATCCTCAGCCATATCAAGAACAACAAAATCAACAGGTATATAAAATTTACCTACTCTAACGAGTACATCCTCTAAAACACCTAAGGGGTATTTGAAAGAACGGTCGGCCATTTGTAGAGTTATATTGGTAGCTTTTAATTTACCCATATTTAATTTGGAACACACAGATAATGGCATAACACTAATGCTAGCACCCAAATCACTCAATGCATTATCAATCAAGAGATTGCCTATATGACAAGGGATAGAAAAACTACCCGGATCTTTTAATTTAGGTGGAGACTTATTTTAAAGTACGAAACTACACTCTGCAGTGAAAGCTACTGTCTCTACCTCACTAATAGACCTTTTTCTCGTCAATATTTCTTTCATAAATTTTGCATACGAGGGGATTTGTGTGATTAATTCAGTGAAGGGAACTGTTACCTTCAAATCTTTTACCACCTCCAGGAATTTACCAAACTGCTTATCCAAGTTTGTCTTCAATTGACGATTGGGGAATGGAAGTTTGATAATTGGCTTTGGAGCATTATTTCTCTTGTCTGGAGTAGCCCCCTTCTCTGGAGTCGTACCCTGCAATGTAGAATTAGATATGTTAGTATTATCCTTTAGCCCTGCAGGGCTATTAACTACATTGTTTGGTTTAACGGAATCAAGATTAACATTATTTAATAAAACAGGTTCATCAACTCTGGGCATAGGGGGCCATTCATAGTTTGAACCACTCCTTAGAGTAATTGCAAATGCTTGATCCGTAGGCCTGATCGGCTGTGCCGGCAGAGCTCCCTGTTGGCGGGCTTGTAGAGTAGCGGAGAGTTGCGCAATTTGATTATCTACAATTTTATTATGTGCTAGAATTTGATCAATTGTCGCATCTCTACTCTCCATGTGCTTTTGCATATTAACCAGCATGGCTCTAATTTCCACCAGAGAAGGGTCGGAAGATGAGGAAGATTGTTGTGGTTGGTTCTTATGGCTAGCATTGGGATGATAATATTTCTACTGCTATTGTTGTGGTGCCTGTGGTTCTTGTGGAGGTGGATTCTGAACATTAGTACTCCGGTAGGAAAGGTACGGACGGTTCCGATACCCAGGATTGTAAGTGTTGGAGTATGGGTTATTCTACCTATAAGCTTGAAAGGCATTAACTTGCAATCTTAGAAATATTAGAATTATTATTAATCGCAGAAACATTAGCTACATTAGTAGTGCTCAGATTATCTAATTTTTGGCAAATAGAGGTCAGCTGAGCTTGCAAAAAGGATATAGAGTCAACACTATGCTTCCCCTTGTTAGCAAACCCTCTAGGGTTCCCATATTGGGAATTGTGTATCGCCATGTCTTCAATAACCTGACCTGCATCTTCAACATCAAGATTCATAAATCTCCCACTAGCTGCAGAATCTAAAATTATTTGAGAAGAATTTCCAAGGCCATTGTAAAAGGCTTGGATTAACTGCCATTGTGCTAAAATGGTGGGGGCAGTCTCTTTGTAGATCCTTGAACCTCTCCCAAGCCTCATATAAAGATTCATTGCCTTCTTGGGCAAAGTTCAGCTAGTAACGGATACTGTTTTGCCCGTTACGAGTACTATATTACATGTAGATGACCAAACATGGCCCAACTAATGAGAGGAGAGCCCAAAACTCGGCTTTTTAGGTTTTCACTTAACAGCCGTCACACCTCTTTCTCTCTCATCAGTCCCTCACTCCCTCTCTCTCTCCTCTCCTCCCCTCTCCGTCATTCACCTCTTCTCTTTCTTTTCAAACTCAGGCCCTCTCATTTCGAGGAGCAACGAGAAGACCTTGAGCAGCGATTGCGTTCATCTTGAGACCGGCGGCTTCATACATTAACTCCCAAGCGGCGTCGGTTTTGGGCGGAGGTGTAACCGGCGATGACGAACAACCAAGCCCGTAGGCTTCTTCCTCTTTAGATCTAAGTCGTAGATCTAAGTCGTTGAACGAACCGATGCTAGGTAAGATTATTCTCTTTGTAATCATCGAATATTAAGTTAGTTGATTCAACTTTATTTTTTGAAATTTATGTTGTTTTTAATTGATTTTAGTTTCTGGGTACTGGATTTTTGGGATATTTTGTGCTAAATTTTTGCAGATTAAGGAATTATTATTGTCTTTTTTAGATCTAAAGTTTTTGATTTTATTCCAATTCTATCTTTATTTTGTATTTTAATCTCCTCAATTATTTTTAGCTCTCTAATTTGGGTGGTTTATGATTTTTCATCTTTAGTTTAATTTCTAAGTAGGATTTTTTGTTTCGCTCACAGGTTCATTTCGATTTCGTTCTCTTTTGCATTCTTTTCGTTCTTCGATTTGATGTGCTCGTTGTTTTGTTCTTCACATTAAATTTTATAGGATTTGTAATTGGTTATTGTTCGAGAATTATTTAGGTTTTTGAGTGATTTAATAGATTTTTAATGTGATTATTGATTCAGCATTTGATCTGATTTTCAATACGTGTTGTTAGTGAATTTGTGAAATCATGCATTCTCATCATTGATAAGATATGAGAATTTCTCGTCTAGATGTTTGATTCTTAGTGTTGATTTAAGGATTTGTGATTTTGGATTGTTTATTACAATGACTATTTTAACTAATCATTTTTTATTTTGATACCATGAAGATTTGTGCATCTCATTTAAGTTCATGCAACCATGACTAGCTGCTTTTATTATTTATGTTATTATCAGAAGGCTGTTAATATCAATGAAGTCTTTATGTTGTGCTGGTTTTATGACTACTTGGAGTCTTTGCCTAAGGTGAGAAGCTTATTATTACCATTGTTGCCTAAGCTGAAGTAAAGAGATGACAGTGGTCCCTTCTAGAGCACGGGTAGAATGCCTGAGATATCTAATGATTTGATGAGTGGTTGAACTATCCAAGCCCGTGGAAATTTCATCCATTAAAAGCACTCTGGATGTACCCACAAGTAATTCTCCTGAAAATTTAGCATAAGCGACTAAGCGTCAATATTATTATTACTTGAAGCCACATACCCAGGTTGATAAGATAATAAAACTTTTTAAGTAGTGCTACCTGTAGTCAGTCTCTTTTTTTGCCCTCCAGAAATTCGTTTGAGCATTTCATCTCCCACCAGTGTATCCGCACATGTGTCAAGTCCTAAAATCTTTGTACACAAGTCATCAATTTTATGAATACACACCTTCCTCTTTTAATGCAGATTTCCATTGCAAATAAGGAACTATAAAGTGATTTTACAAAAGCATAGAGGTATAAAGTGACCAGAAACTTTCAAAGTCCAGTGACTCCAGTCTGACAGATGATCAGAATAAAATGGCAATGTCGTGGACTGGTGTAGGTACGCATGCTTTCTCAATTCGAATTGTCACTAATTCACAATGACTAACTGATTATTTATAGTCTAATTAGATTGTAGAAACAGGATCTATATTGCTCACTCTTAACAGTAATGACAAAGAAAAATGTTGTTATGAAAACAAGGCATAGTGAGATACAGAAACCATTAATTAACCAATGCCATACCTTCATTATATATTCTGCATATAGACTTGTTTTCTGTTCTCCTAGAGCAAGGGCCTACAGAATGGCATCACATTGTTGTTGTCAATGTAAGCATTTAAGCATGAAGATAGAAGGGGCATGAGCTTCAAATTGTTGCCACAAACCTTAATCAGTATATCAAGATCTTCATCAGGTGGTGTAATGGTGCTTGTATTATTATTTTAATCTTCATTGTCATTTAGTTGGCTGCTGCAACTAAATTTGAATACGCAAGCACTAAACTGTGCCCTTGATCAGTCCAGTACAATGTGTATTAATACCTTAGGCTTGTATTTCATCTGAGTGAAAGTTATTGCTTTTATTGATATTGATATCAGTCTGTAGAGTTTTGTAGATTTACCCTCCTTTGTCTATTTTTCTGTGATCGAGAAGTGGTATTACTTCTGCTGCTAGAATATGTGCTCTTGTCGTCCAAATTTGAATGTTATTGTCCAATATGTCCTGTCTTTTTCTTTGCAATTTGGTTTTCTCTGAGATTGATGCATCCTGTGTAGCAATGTGTTTACTGATTAATAAACATTGCCTTGGCAGAACGGAAAAGGCAGAAAACTAGTAACTCAATTAACCGGAGTAATAAATTGAGGGATTTATACCATCAAGTTACAATTTGCTCCATAGATCTTTTACCAATTCAGAAGTGAATTTTTTGAGGCACATTCAGAATTGAATTTTCCCATCCCTAAGTAATGATAATCGAAGTATGAAAACAGATTAACAGATGTTGAGCGATGATTCAGATGTATAAGTTTGCTGGAAGCCTCGTAGCAAAAGTATATGTGTCTTGTTTTGCTGTCTTTGTGAATTTAGTGATTTGTTTTCTTTTGTTGGAGTATAACCTGTTATGTTTGTATGGGCAACAGGTAGCAATCCTATTGATGTTACGGATTCATGTTGGGAGATGTATGTCATTGTTCAGAAGATAGCTGACCTAGAGGGAGACCAGAGTAGATTGCTATAAACAGCTCTAGATATGAGCAAGATACAGTTTAACAAGGTACTTCGTCAATGCCCCATAATTTGCTGCATCATTGCTAATTACCCCAGATGTAATATCGTATTGTTGTTCCCACTTGAATTTAAAATTCATAGTTAAACAAAGTGATGAAAGTTTTTGCCATGTGATTGCTGGAAGGCATGCATTTCTTATACTGAAAAAGTACTCAAAATTTTGCATTTATCTTGTCGTGCAGGATGTTGGGCAAGCAATGCGGCAAAGCTAGTCAAGAGTTTTGGAGAGCTTAGCATTTACATTATGGCTAGACTAGACATTTATTATTTTAGGTAGTCTTATGTAAACTTGTTTAATTATTATTACAATGATTTGTTTTTGCTTTGTTTTACTTTTAGTTATTAGGAAATAATTAAAGCAGCTTTTCTTGATTGTATATTATTTGGTAATTATTAAGTGTATACTGTACTTGTATTATATATATATATATATATATATATATATATATATATATATATATATATATATATATTTGATTTGATAAAATAATTTTTCAAGCTAGCTGGCCAGCCATGTGCTGGATTTTTTTTTTAATTGGATCTCATAGTATTCGTAACGGGCAGAACCTGTCCGTTACGAATAACGGGCTTATTCGTAACGGGCACCTGAAAAGTCCGTTACGAATAATGGGATATTCGTAACGGGCAACATAAATGTCCGTTACGAATAATGGGTTATTCGTAACGGGCTTTTCAGGTGCCCGTTACGAATAACTCATTATTCGTAACGGACAGTGCCCGTTACATTATTCGTAACGGACAGTGCCCGTTACATTATTCGTAACGGATAGTGCCCGTTACGAATAACAATGGCCATCCGTAACGGCCGCATACGTAACGGAAGCTGCCCGTTACGGATGGCCCCTTTTTCCCTGTTACGGATGAGGATTTTTCCACTAGTACCAAGTGCTGTTCTATTTAAGCCATTAAACCATAATTTAGCTTTTCCAGTTAAAGAGAAAGGAAAAAGAATCTCCTGATTTGGTCTTGAGTGACCCCGGCTTGCCTAATGGTGTTACAATATTGACAATAGTCGGCAATGTGAAGATTTGGGTCTTCACCCTTGGCTCCACTGAATTGCTTCCTCTCTATCATCGTTATAAATTGAGGTTTAATTTCGAATTGAACCCCATCAAGAGCCGGAGTAGGGGTGAGATGTGGAAAATCTGTAAGCTTTGGTTGTGAGTAATCACTAAGCTTCTTTGGAGCCGTCATCTCTGATTCTAGATCTGATGATACCTCTGAATCGCTATAACCAGTTGGAGGATCGCGGTGATTATTATTATCACCAGAATCCGCCAGAATTTGCTTGTAGAGATTTTTCTGTCTATGGAAGGAACGTTCGATCTCGGGATCGAATGGGATGTACCCCGATCTGGAACACCTGGGCATAAACAAAAACTAGAAGCAAATATGAGATTTGCCTCAGAGAACTAACGTTCTCTGAGACAAAAAAGAAATAACCTAGACTACAAAAATAATCAGAAATAAAAATAAAACCGTTTCCCCGGCAACGACGCCAAATTTTGACAGGGTAAAGTCGTATCCTCAAATCAAAAGTAAATACCTAAGTCCTCTAACTAAAGTAGATAGGGAAGTAGGGTCGAACTCCACAGGGAAACAAGTCTTTCTATTCCTAATTAACTAATATAATCTAGATTATGAAATTACCAATATGTGAATTTGAATGTAAAACTAAACTACAAAGAATGAGAATAGGGAGAAAACAATATATAAAAGGATTTAGGGGATAGGTTCACCAATAAATAATACTCCAGGGCAAAAAAATAAAAATCAATCATTGACATTGCATAAATAACATGATTAACAGGCTCTCGCAATTTTTAATCAACATAGATCTAACAGGCTCTCGCAATATACTAGATCTAAGTTCCTATTGAAAATAGCCTTTAATATCAAATTAACATCTGCTCGATTCATCAATTCAATATTGATATACTTTTACAAGCTATAATTGTAAAGCGTTAAAACAATTCGATAAGAAATTATCATGCAATATCAAGAACCAATAATAGTCAATCATCAATGCATCAATTAACCAGCTCGTAAAGGGCTTTCGCTACGTATTACAATCACACAATTAATTTACCGGTATTAAATCTCATCTCTCGAATCTCGACTTAACTATTTATAAAATAATCTGCCTATTGAAACTAGACCTAAACATCAATTCTCCTCTGTCGAATCTCGAATCAATATTGTCAAACTCATGCATAAAAGATCAGGCCTAATCTAGTCACAGAGCATTAAATCAATCTATAGGAAATTAATCTAGCACTGACAATTAACAACAATAAATTACCCCTTCATATTATTTAAGGATCCCCATAAACCCTAGAAATAAAACTACTCACACATAATAGAAACTAAACTAATCAAAGCAATAAAGCTGGACATGATTAAAGGAATGAAATAAACAACTAAGATTAAGAGTAGAGAAATCGTTACCAAAATAAATCTGGAATTAAGAATGGATTAAGAACAAAAGTTTAAGAGAAAGAAAATCTAAGAAAACAATTAAGAGGGTAAAGAAAGAGTAAAAGGGAGAGAGAGGAAGAGAGAGAGAGGAAGGGAGCGAGGGTTAAAATCGTATTACGGAGGAGTATTTATAATCCGTACAAATCCTAATTTAAAACAAACTAAAACAACGCTAATCGTCTCCTAATATTTACACGCGCCCGATCGGGCGCGCCTTTTTGCTTCCTCAATAATAATCTCGCGCCCGGCCGGGCGCGTCACCGGGTGCCAACCTTAGCTTCTCCCGCCCGTCCGGGCGCGCCTCCGGGCGCGAACCTCTTTGGCCAGGCGGCTCACTTGGGCCACTATTTGGACTACGATTGGGCTCCAATTCTTCGGGCCAATCTGGGTTTCCTCTTATGGTCTTGAATACTCGGTCCAAATGCTCCGATATCACCTATACCGAGCCCTTAATCACCGGTTCGATGGCTCTAACCGGCCCTGGGCTATAGAATCTGGTCGTGCTTCTCCAATGCTCGTGATTGCTCCAAAATATCTCGGGAAAATACTCCAAAAGTGTAATTCCCTGCAAAAGTCAACCAAATCTACAAAAACACTAGAAAACACCAATTAGTAATAAAAGTGGCTCTAAAGAGCCAAAAACACTACTAATTACGACCAGGGGACGGGGGTAAAATACTATATAAAATAGACACATGAGGAGTCGCCAAAAACTGTAGGGAATATTTCAAGCATTACCCCAAACATGAACCCCACTGTGATCATACACTAAAGTACGGTGGCGTCCAAAGGGAAAGAAGATAGAGCAAAAGAGTCGCCATCAAGTTTTAGGAACTTGTAAACCGTTCACGAGGTGAAGGTTACACCCCTTAACGATATAGGAGATCGTCAACTCCAATAGGTCTGGAACCATGACTGGTAGTTCGGGGATGAAGGTACAAATCCAACCTGAAAGAGATTGAACCTGCCTTAATAATAGGCCTCTATTTTATTCTGATCGTATTCATGTGCGCTTTCTGACTAACATGCAATCAATAGGTTTAACCTTAAACCTGTTTAATCTATGTTGGTTGAATATTAATGCACAAATAAAACTATTATTGGCGATCACTTGAATTATAATCATATTACCCTAAACAAGATTATTAATTATCTTATTAAGCGTGATTACAAGTACCAATTCCCTTTAAACATGCATAAAAGGTGTGATCAAGCAATAAGTATATATATATATATATATATATATATATATATATATATATATATATATATATATATATATATATATATATATATATATATATATATATATATATATATATATAGAGGAAGGCTCATGTAAGAACCCTCCTCTATATAAGAACTCAATCTTATATAAGAACCAATCTCAACCATTTATTAGTTTTGATCCAACCATCTAAAACCATCCTTTAGTAATGGCATTTCTGTAATTCTTTTTTTATGTTCTAAATTTTTTTGCCTACTCTTATGTTCTAAATCTAGTCTACCTATTTTCTAATTTTTTTTTTCTATGTTCCAAATTTAGTCTACTTATATACTAAAGTTTTTTTTTTTTTTTTTTTTTTTTTTTTTTTTTTTTTTTTTTTTTTTTTTTTTCTTCCTATGTTCTAAATTTTTCCAACCTATGTTCTAAAGTTTTTTTTTCTTCTTCTTATGTTCTAAATATTCTTTTACCTATGTTCTAAATTCTTTTGCCTATGATCTAAATTCAGTCTACTTATGTTCTAAAGTTTTTTTTTCCTAAGTTCTAAATTTTTACTACCTATGTTCTAAAGTTTCTTTAGTAATGACATTTCTGTAATTCTTTTTTTATGTTCTAAATTTTTTTGCCTACTCCTATGTTCTAAATTTAGTCTATTTATGTTCTAATTTTTTTTCCCTATGTTATAAATTTAGTCTACTTATGTTCTAAAGTTTTGTTTTCTACGTTCTAAATTTTTTCTACCTATGTTCTAAAGTTTTTTTTCCTATGTTCTAAATATTCTTTTACCTTTTGCCTATGTTCTAAATTCAGTCTACTTATGTTCTAAAGTTTGTTTTTTCCTATGTTCTAAATTTTTACTACCTATGTTCTAAAGTTTTTTTTTTCTTATGTTCTAAATATTCTTTTACCTATGTTCTAAATTTGTTTTTTCCTATGTTCTAAATTTAGTCTACTTATGTTCTAAAGTTTTTTTTTTCCTATGTTCAAAATTTAGTCTACTTATTTTCTGCTCATATAACTTAGTGCTAATTTAATTTGTTTTATTGGATTTTTTTTTAAAAAAAAAACATTTGAAGTTTTTTTAGTTATTTATAAAGATAACCTATGAAGGAATTGAACCTACATCCTCTATGCATTTGCATAATGCTCTTCCAATTGAGCTAATAGGTTTTATCATATGTTCTAAATATTATTTGCATATGTTCTAAAATTTATTGCTTAAGCTCTAAATTTTTCAATCTAAGCTCTAAATATATGTATGTTCTAAACTATTTTCCTATGTTCTACATTTTATTGTTTATGTTCTAAAGTTTTCTGTCCATGTTCTAAATATATATCTTATATTCAAATTTTTTTGTCTATGTTCTAAATTTATTTCGTATGTTCTAAATTTTTTTCATATGCTCTAAATTTTTTCTGTATGCTCTAAATTTTATCCTATGTTCAAAATTTTTTCTACCTATTTTCTATTTTTTTTTCCGTACGTTCTAAATTTTTTCTATCTATGTTCTAAACTTTATCATATGTTCTAAATTTTTACCTTATGTTCTAATTTTTTTCACCGTATGTTCTAAATTTTTAGTATATGTTCTAAACTTATTTTCTATGCTCTTTTTTTTTCCCAATATTCTAAATTTCCAATTTTTTTTCCTATGATCTTTTTTTTTTTTTTC